CGCTCTGGTTCGCGCACGTTTATGCTTACGACTAAATGGACATAAGAATTTGACGGCAGCAAAACAGTTACGTCCCCCGCTAGATCGAGGCACTGAGTCCTTATTTAAGGAAGAAATAGCGAAACGAGTTTCTGAGGTCGACAGCAGGATTTCCCCCGAGGTAGCCTGGCACAACATACAGTTAGCTTTAGACACAGCTGTAAAAGCTGTCAATAAGCTAAAACCTAAAGTTAATAAAAGCCATTGGATCTCTACCGCCTAATCCGAACTGACTGACACAAGAAGACTGATTCCAGCGACCTCCGATTATGATGAGGAGCGAAAGGTGCTTAAACGAAGACTAACAAAAAGTCTTCGTAACGACCGTGAACAGTGGTGGGCGACAAAAGCGAAAGAGATGGAAAGGCATCGGCAGTTGGCAACACCAGACAACTATTCAGGCTTATCAGGGAAACAGGTGCCAAAAGGTAAATGATAAGTGAAACAATCTCGGAGAAAAGTGGCACCATAATTAGCTCCCAGGATAGACGACTGGGACGCTGGAAAGAACACTATGAGGAGCAGTTTAATTGGCCTAAAGCCACGCTTAACCTGCCGAACATCCAACACCTCCCTGAATGGGATATAGACACAGGTCCTCCCTCCTTAACTGAGGTTACTAAAGCTGTCACTAATCTGAAACAAGGCAAAGCAGTGGGACCTGATGGATTGACTCCAGAGGTATTTAAGTACGGTGGAGACAGTTTACTGTCCGCATTAACTGAGGTTCTAGGCAGCGTCTGGGAATCAGAGGAAGTCCCATCGGGTTCGTGTAAGTCACTGATCATCCCGATATACAAGAAGGGAGAAAAGTCTTCTTGTGATAATCACAGAGGGATCAGCTTGACTAATATGGTATCTAAAATCCTAGGCTCAATAATACTGCGTAGATTAAGTGGTGCTCGGGAGACACAAACACGAGAAAACCAGTCAGGTTTTAGGCCAGGAAGAGGGTGTATTAATCATATCTTCACCCTTCGACAGATTCTAGAACATAGGCATTCCTACCGGCGTCCAACAATCCTTGTATTTCTTGACCTGAAGGCGGCATTCGATTCTGTCGACCGAGAGGTTCTCTGGTGATGCTTGGCTGTAAAGAGAATGCCGAGAAAATACATTGCACTGATTAAGACACTCTACTCGTACTCATGCAGCCAGGTGAGGGCTTATGGCGAGTTGTCATCTGAAGTGGGGACGTCTAGTGGCGTCCGTCAAGGATGCCCATTATCCCCATTCCTATTCAACTTCATCATAGATGTACTAATGGACTTAACCCTAACACACTTCAGCGACTCAGGGATTGACTTGCTACCAGGAGATAATCTCGTCGACTTAGAATATGCGGACGATATAGTCCTTCTAGGCGAGGACGCTGACAAAATGCAGAGTCTACTGAACACCTTGAGCAACAATCTTCGTATATTTGGCATGCAATTCGCCCCTGTAAAATGTAAGATGATGCTGCAGGATTGGACTACACCGACTCCTAGATTAGAAATAGGAAGTGAAGTAGTAGAGCACGTTGACCACTTCACTTACTTGAAAGGTATCACCAGCCCCAACGGGTTGATCTCTGACGAAATCTCAGCACGAATACAGAGGGCTAGTTTCGCATATGCTAGTTTACGCCGTCTCTGGCGTAGACGTGATATCCGACTATCGACCAAAGGGCGTGTGTACTGTTCATCAGTCCGCTCCGTCCTCCTTTATGGCTGTGAGACCTGGCCATTGAGAGCAGAAGACATGAAAAGATTAGCTGTCTTTGATCGTAGGTGTCTGCGTTGGTTAGGACATGTGTTACGTATGTATCCCTAGCCATTACTTTCTTTGAAGGGCAATGTTAGCTGACATAAGGTCTGGCTGGAAAAGAGCTAGCGGCGGTCAAACCAAAACATGGCACCAGTCAATGAAATCTACAACAGTTAGTCTAAGCCACGTAGGAAGCTGTAGACTTCCTGGTTGGGGTCCTCGGGACGGTAAAAGCCAATGGTTGGAAACAATTGGTGACATGGCTCAAAATCGTTCTCAATGGCTAGCGCAAATGCATCCACTCCTTGTGACTTATGATTTCCGATGAAACTGTTTTGTTCTTCATTATTACTATTCCTTTGTCTCACCACACCTCTGTTTACTGTCTATATTATGCATTTCTACTACTTTATTCTCTAGCTTTGTGTGCTACATGGAAGGAGTGTGGTGACTTGAACAGCCGCACATATGTGCAAAGTTCTATGTCGAAAACAGATATACAGGCAGACATTTTTACCTCATTTTGACCCTAGTAATGTTTCTGCTAATTCCATAAATTGATTAGTGTTATAAATTTTGGTTCAGTCTGCCCTGTAATGTATCTTTTCTGTTATTGCTGTTGAGTAAATTAGATGCAATATCTTACAAAATGCTGAAAATTCCACACTGTATTATAAGTACTCAGAATATATAACCTGGTTGATAGTATAACTGATAATCGGGAAAGCAAACATAAACGTACACCTCTACATACTATTGACTGCCTGATATGAACGGTTAGATAGAAGTCACACCAGCAGATTTAATAGCTAGTCAGATAAAAGTGATCTGTTAACACACGACACGTTTGGATTTCAACTCACCAGTGCTTTACTCAGTTTCATGCATCACAAAGAAATAAGTCACTTTAAACAACCCAAATTCTGGTTAGCTACTTAGGTGGACTGGTAGTGTTATAATTATTGTTTCCTTTAATTCCTAGAGCAACAGCTGCACGTCTCCATTGCTTTCGGTTCTCTGCCAACGTTTTCAACTGACTCCACGGTCTGTCCACATGTTTTCATATCCTCTTCACATCACCTACTCCATGTCACCCTAGCATTGACGACCAACTCGCCGCTTCCAATTCGGGTTCCACTCAAGCAATGCCATGGCGTGTGATGTCAACTGATGGTCTGTTTTTTCAGAGTATAGCCAATCCACCTCCATTTCTTCCAGCATATTTTTTGCACAAGTGGTTACCGCTGGGTTGATTCGTTCATTGTCAGAGATCTCTTCCTGTTGCTGATCTTTTCTGACCAGCCATCTGATCTTGAGCAGTATTGAGCGAAGAAAGTTGTTGGTGGACTGGTAACAACACATCAAATCAAATTCCAATTTACTAATCAACTGAGAATATCAATTAATAACAAGCTCTACTGATGGATGTGATTGGTATCCAACTACTCATTTCGACTAATCAGTAGCTTGTTATAACTTAAAGAAATATTTTACTTTCATAAAATTAAAATGAAACGGTTAGGGTAATCATTTGCAGCAAAGATAGGCTAAAATGCTGTAGCCGATTATTTCAGGTCAACTAATTTGTAGTGGAAAGAGTTGAGAGAATTAAAAATACACTAGTGATATGTATTTGGAAATCTCCACCGACAGCCGCTACTCTGATGATATTAGCGATTGAGCTAGTATACTGAAATGTCTCAGCAACTTCGCTGACTGGAAGGAATGTTCCTACAGATCCTATCACGTGAGAAAGGTGGTTACGCTAAAAGGCAGTTACCATTACACAGGGTAAATCATTTACACTATGATGGAGGTCTGTTGGTTATTAGGAATATAACAGAAGTAAGGTGTCATTAGATGATTGGAGGCCATTAGCAGGAAGCCCTACCTAACTTAAGTTTTTTGGTAGCTGGCACTTGTCAGCACAGTTCTACAGTCCTAAAAGAGGTCAGTCGCGAGACTGACTAGCTCACTTGTAACGTCTCTGATTGCAGCACTGGGTGACGCAGGTTTGAATCTCAAGTGTGATATCAGTTCCTTCAAGGTTGCAGAAAAACCTTGCTGACTGACTGCTGGGTGTCAACTAGCACGAAACCTAGATGTAGCCAAGGCTTCCTGCTGATTGCCTCGAACTATCTAATACCAACAGTTCAAAGTGCATCGTGATGGCAAGCCAACTAGTGGCATGGTAGCCACATTACAAACTTGACTGACAGAATTCAGTCTGCATTGTTAAACAAAGGAATAGACACACTACACTAATTAGTAACTAGTGTCCAATCAAAGAAGTATGGTATTTTCTGAAGATGGCGAACATGCCATGAATTCTGTCTCTGCTCTTCTAAGAAGGGGAGCGGTTAAGAAAAGTCGATTCTAAAAATTGGGCATCATGAGTTGTTTTTCGTCCATCAGAAGCCGGCACTAAGGTTTTCATATGGGAAAAACTCTGAAAACTAATTCAGATAGTCCCTCTGTGGGTGACTGGCCTTTAAAAGTTGTCACATAAACGTGTGATTGTTGCACTGGCGTCTCACTTCTTTCCCTTCCGATCGGAACATAAGGCTTCGCGCTATGAAGCTTCAGTAGTGGTCTTAGCTTTACGACGTAGTGAGGAGAGGTCGCCAAACTTCCTCGCTTACTATTGGTCACCTTACCCATGTGAGTGTTTAGGATGGGTTTCGATCGAGCATCGAAACAGGATCTCTGAACTCATGGATGAGTATCCTACCACTGAATCACTGACCGATCACGTTATGTTACAACCGAATGCCCTAAAAGGCACTTACCATTCCATGAGTGTCGTAAATATGTGGTGGTGTCATATGTATGGTTGCCACAATCGTTTTTTCACTCCTTGCGTCCAGAGAAGAACATACGACTCTAATGTTTAAAATTTCAGTAGCGCCGGTGCTGTTTTCACGAGATGCGGCTACTAGTCCCATACCCAACGTCCCCTGTCTCTCCCTCAGGATTACAGCTTGGAACGCATCGGTGGGGTGATCAAAGCAGCACAACTTGGTTGTTTGATTGGTTGGTTAGACAACATCGTATCACTGAACCACCGATGCGTTGCATTGTCTTACAATCACAGTTCACACCAAATCATAAAAGGAGAGGGGTCGAAAAGGATTTACTTGTCATCCATGAGTGTCATATAACCTTGTTCCATCCAATAAATAATCTCGTATTATTAAAATATTTATTTCCAGCAATCACAGAATAAAACTCCTCCACCTCCTCCTGAATATTCTGACCTTACACAGTTGTACACTTCAGAAACAAATAATTCTCAGACTCAAGGTAGTATATCATCAGATGCCAGGAATAAAAAGTCATCTTTGATCAACACCACTAATCGTCATATGTGGGTGAATACTACTGTGCCAGTTGGATCACGTAATATGCTCTCGATAAAATTTTCAAATTTGGATATCAAGTGAGTAATTTCGATAATTTCTCTTCTTTTTCTTGGTTGTCATCTTTGCTGTCCATTGTTAGAATAACAATACTATTTTATGCTTTCCATGGAATTAAGACATTTTCATTTCTTCACACTGACTGAATACAAAAGAAACTTAAGTTCTGTATCTCAGTTATGGAATAAAAAGCATATTTTCACAGGAATGGATTAAGGAAGAAGTGTGTAAACTGAAATTTACATTACAAGAAAATGGATATCCAGAGAACCTTTTAAAAAAGTCTGCATCGATACCTAGAGATTAAAGTAACGATGGACACCGCGTAAATAACAAACCTTTGTATCCTAAAGTAAGTTACAAAGGGGAGATTGCAGCTGACATTCTAAATCGTTGACTTAGTTGAGCAGTACAAGGAACATTCCCTGCATCTAAACTGGTACTCAACTTATCAACTAAACCTGGACTCACACAACGAGTTAAGAATAAATTATCAAAGATGGACTCATCAATGTGTATCCATGAATTCAACTGCTCATGTGGAGCTAGTTACATAGACTGTACTCAGAGGACTTTATCCATGCACGTATGTGGACATGTACCCGTATTGTTGGGTAAGGAGGTAGCCAAATGTGCCAATAGTGCAGTCTTATCCCACATGGTATTTACCAGACACTGGAGAAAACCTGAGCAGGCATTCTCGGTTACTTACCACGTTCCTGATAATCTATCTTGAGGAGCTCAACTAGGTTTTCTATCAGTAGCTGAAGCGATAGCAACGAATACCAGGAGACCAACTCTTTGTATGCAGAAGGAGTATCTTCAACCACTATGTGTACCTTGGCCTACAATAAGGCCAACAAATCCTCCATAAACATTAGCACTTTAAATTCCTATCACAATTTTTTTCCTTCTCTTCTTCTTTTCTTTTGTTTCATTTACAAGCGTTCATTTCTCACCTTTTGTGACCTAATGACCCTTCTTATTACGCATATTACTCTGTGTTAACGTAACGCTTTTTCCAACTTGCTATTATATATACACAATCGCGATCATTTCACTTCACTAAATTCATTATTATTATTTGATATTTGATGATCGTTCACCAACAGTACTTTTTAAGTTTACATCACATCATCTTTATTACCATTTCACAATCATTATTATTATTGTCGTTATTTTTATCACTGAACTTACGTCTAGCCTATCCCCATTCGTTGATTTATTTTTCTGTAATATTCATATTGTCTCGCACACCACTGATTACATCTCATTTTATCTCATGTTCTCATTGACCACGCATATTCAAAAATTAACTGACTATTGTTCCATCCCATCTTACTTATACCTGTCCCACAATACATTACTGATATGATTCTAATTTGCCTTTACTGGCTGGTTGACTGGCTATTGTATGCTTAAATTAATGGATTTATAACTGTATAGCCTGAAGAATAAGAGGTGCTCATAAAGAGCATCTCAAACAAACTACAGACCTTCATTAACAGCTCTCTTCGCTGAATACTCAAGATCGGATGGCCAGAAAAGATCAGCAATAGGGACCTGTGGGAGCAAACCAACCAGGAACCGATTGTGAAACAAATGAGCAGGAAGAAATGGAGATGGATTAGGTATACTCTAAGGAAACCATCAAGTGACATCACTAGAGAAGCCCTCGAGTGGAACCCAAAAAGGAAGTGGCGAGTTGGTCATCAGTGCAAGGGTGACTTGGAGGAGGTCATGTGAAGAGGAGATGAAAGCGTGCGGGCAGACTTGGAGCCAGGTGAAGACTCTAGCAGAGAACCGAACGCAATGGAGACGCGCGGCTGAAGCCCTCTAGGAATTGAAGGAAATAATAATAATATAATTGAGAACGACAATTTTTTGGGCTCTAACTGTTCTTTACCGATGCGGAAAACCACAGTATTTAAAAAGGCTCATCAAAGAAGTATGAAGAATCACTAGGCTGGATATATGATTAGTTTTGAAGGTTAGGTTAGAGGTTAGACTAAGAAGTTAAACGATCCAACCAAATGACCAAACCAAATGATCCAGATTTAATAGTATAAAAGGCTAAATTAAACTTTAAGCACCAGTAAGTACCAACGGACAGATGACCTTGAGTGGTGAAGGCTATTTTCACGCATAAAATATTTATATTAATGAAAATAATGAATCCAAAGGCATGAAACTGTTACACAGGATACCCTTTTATGATGTGCGCCAAAAATGCCTCTCAATTTGAAATTGGTGTATCAACAGAGCAATTTAACCACATCCTATGTAGGTAATTATCTAGATCTTCTAATCCTAACCCTAATCCTAACATGAAAATAACCCTAAACTAACCGTAATCTAACTAGAACCAACTCTAATATCTCCCTCGTTAGGTTATTACCTAACCCTAACCTGTCCCTAGCCTAAATCTTAACTTAATCTGTCCCAAACCTAACCTGAAACTTGACAAATATCCCATTTAATAACATAACACTTCATTAGGCATATTTTATTCATGATCACAATATTATTTACCAGGTCTCACTAACCTGCTCACTGGCTGTTTCAAGGTCATTGGCGCGATCGCACTCCATTGGTAATTAATGGTGCTTAAAGTTTAACTTGACCATTTGAAATATTCCCATATCATGAATTAAAAGTCAATCTGGACGGAGAATATTCTTTTCAATAACTTCACTTCAGTTTAATAACTTTTTGATAAAGTTATTAGTAGCGGCATTAAATAGAGAAACGTCAGTAGAAACAACAGTATCGTTTTGTTTTTCATGCATTCATTGGGAAGTACAAAAAGCTGTGTAAGCGTGAATATCATATACCCAATGACCAAATATTTTCAAACTGTTAAAAGTGAACTTGGTTTGGACGCATAGAATGTCTCTTCAGGTTCTTACAGCTATAAAATATGATGTTTGTTATCGTTACAATAATGACCAGTTATGAGGAGGATATGTTTTTAACGTATGGCAAAAATATTCATCCAGACATCTGTAAAACACAAAATAGTTGATCAAAGAATATCCTTTTCGATAAATTCCTCTTCTGGCCCTACAATTACATATATATATATATATATATTTATATACATAGAATATTCTAGATTAGGAGTCAATAACAATATTGCTGTGTTTTTAAATAATATCGATTTGTTAAGTAAGATCGGGTGTCAAAATAAATAGTTGCATTTGTGTGACAAACGTGCTAGGCTGAAATCGATTACAAAATATTGTGAAGTGGAAGACAATGGTGATTAGTCATAATAGATTCGTAGAATGTGGGGTTATAAAAAGTGTCACGTGAGTGGCTAGTACAAAGTGGTACGTATTAAAGAAGAGGAGATAGTAAGACTGCAATGAGAGGTTGATAATGTAATAACCAATATGTGTGAAATGAAACAGGTGGAGGCATATATTGAGAAAAGAGAAAATATCACCAATAATAAGTCTGGATAGTATAAACGGAAAATTCGGTAGTATTGAGAGAATGTTTTCATGAAGGGTATAAATTATGACGAATAATAATAATAATTGTAATAATAAGCAAAGAAAGAAAAATCTAAGTGGGTTAAGGGGAGAAAGCACTCTTGGTGAGAAGAAGAATCATCAATCCAAGTTTGGCCACGGTAGGAACAGCGTCCGGACGTGTTCTTTTTGGGTACAAAGTTCCAGTTTAGTCAATCTTATTGAGACAGCTTCAGCTATCTGTAGCGGTCGTAAGCGAACCGTACGCGATAACAACTTCGGAATTCGATATACAACCCTGAAGGCTGTGTTGGCGTCGATGAGATGTCCAATATCAACCAACTGTAACAGGATCGATCATTTTGTACATTTGATTTCGTCTTTACTAAACCGGGCTGGTGAATGTTCTGGAACCTGTAGACGAACCCGCATAATCGTTCGCTCTACACGACTTAAACCACAGGAACAGTTGAAGTGGTATATTCATGAAGATTCAAGGTTAGGTAAGACGTCCTTCAGTTTCTGAGTGAACATTGGACGGCTAATAAAGGATAGGAATAGATGCTAAGCGTAGACAGTTTTGTTTATCACTCTAATTAAACGTAGCGATAGAATCTCTGCAGAACTATCTCCCCTGAATCGTAGACGCAAAAATAAAGGATTTTTCTCCACCTTTGCCAGTTCACGTTTTACTATGCTGACTTTAATAAACTTCTCTGGATATCCGTTCTCGCTTAGAATATCCCAGATAACCTGCAGTTCTTTCTGTACACAATCTTCGGAACAAATCGACCCCGGTGTGAATGCTGCACACCTGATCAAACTACTTTTGTATTTCATAGGTACGAAGCTAAGGAAGTGTGTATATTGCGCTTTGGTCTCTAGCTTTCTAAATATGGTTCGTTTGACGAAACCCTCCTCTCTTCTCAACCATGATCCAGAATAAATAATCATCAAATGAGTGGCATGGCAAAATTTACTGAATATCCACCATTTAATTACAGTTGTTTGCTTTCGTCACGAGTCAACAACGTCAGTTGGACAAGTCATTGAAAATAATTACACCACTGTATGCAGGGATTGGAATTATTCATTACAGTAAAGCCGGGAGAAAATCTAATCGAAAACCATACTGTTCGCTTATATATGCCTTGGTTTTATTCTTACAAAACAAATATTCAAATTAAGAAATTTTGCAGGGAACTAGATTGTTTTCAACGTAGATTTCGTCACGAGCGATCACTAAAAACCTGGAAGCACTGGACACCTAGCTGTTTCGTTCAAACTTTAGTACTCTTCAGCAGGGATAATCCACTACTCCACGGGGTATGGAAGTACGAATCTTCAGGTTGAGAGGCCAAGTTTGTTCTTGGTCATTTTCCATCCACTTGGGCGGGAATTCATCTGCCCATGAATTCGAAATTCTGTGTACAGATGAAGAGTTTCAAACTGGGGTGAAACAAATGTCCAGTACTCTGTGGTTTTCAGTGACATTCTAACTGATGTTCTTTCATGATAAAATACACGTCTAAATTATTTTTCTTGTTCATTGTATAACCATTTTAATGGTCAATAGATCAGACTTTATTATTGTTACTGTTCCCTTGGGTTCCGAGTAGAACATAGAGCTTCAACAGCACGTATCCACTGTTCCTTTTTTTACCGTCCTCTTCAGCTGGGTCCTCGATTGCCCATAATCTCTCATCTCCTCTTTGCACAATCTTCTCCATGTTACCCTCGGATCAACGCCCAAGTTACAGTTTCCCGTTCCGGTTCTACTCGATGTCCTGTCCCACGATTTCATTCAACGACATCCTCAATGTATGCCTGATGCATCTCAATTTCCTCCTATTATTTGTTGATCAATCGGCTCCTGCCTGTTGGTTTGTTGCCATCCAGAGTTTCCTGTTGCTAACTCTTTCTGGCTGGCCATACGATCTTCAGTATGAAACCAGCCAAGGTAGCTGTTGATAAACGTTTTCAGTCGCCTGTTAGAAATACTTTTTATGACGTGCTGGCCAAGTCTCTGACCCATATAGAACAACTGAGTGACTTGACATTTGTGTCGAAAATCCAAATCTTTTTCTTCATGCTGAGTGCAGGAGATTTTGAAACCGATTCCAGATTGATGAAGGTGTGCCTTACCATTCCTACTCTGGCTGTCTTTGACATCTTCATCCGTTCAGCCAGCTGCAGTTGAAAGGGTGCTTCCTAGATACGTGCAGAAAGTAACCTGTGTCAAATTTCTCCCGTTGATAGTGATTGATGCTGGTTGTTGTTCGTGTTGGTTATTTTTTTCATCACCTCCATCTTCTGTATAATCACTTGATATTTTGTCTTTGCTTCTTCTTCCGCCAAACTGTTGGTCTCCGCCTGCATGTCTTCCAGTTTGTGTGAGTAACATTAAACATAAATCATCCATGCGTGAAATCCACATCTTCTAGAGTATTCTGATCGTTTCGAAGTATTTCTGTGTTCTCACTCCCAACGCACAGTCTGATGCATAATCTAGTCCACCACAATTAGGAATATCATCTATGATAATAGGTAGCTATCCTTCTCTTCTCCTGTATTCACTTCAAACGCCACGCTGAGTTTTTCATTGTGGGTCACCTGAAACGTAGCACTGCCATATAGCCACCTGCTGAGTGAGGTTGATAAAGACTTGGGCAATGAAGTAGTTTCCAAATTACTTTTCGGTCAACGCCACACTGTCGACGGCCTTTCCAAAGTCGGTTAAGTTGAGGTAGAGTGAGGTTCGACTGCCATTCTGTGCTTTGTTCTGTGATGACGATGCGTGAAGCTGCAATTCGATCAACACATGATTTGCATTTTCAGAATCCAGCTTTTTCCGGTTGGCGGAGTCCTACATCCGGTTTATCTCTTATTTACTCCGGGATGACGTGACTCAGTAATTTACTTGGCGTGGACAAGAGTATGATTCCGCGCCAGTTTTCACAGAGGCCTAAATCACCCTTCTTTGGTAGCTTGACAAGGTAGCAAGCCTTTCTTCCAATCAGTGGGCACCTTTCCTTCCTTCCAAACTATCTGTAATAATGGCCTCAACAGACTAGAGGTTATACCACAAATTCAAATGTTCGAAGACACTTCTTTTACACAACATGGAATAAATTTTAATATATAATCATATATGCTTCTTTTTTGACCAATTTTCTACTTACACATATATATTTATACTGTATAACAATTTTGTTTTATTTGATTCATGCAGCACACCGAATATGAATCATTCAAAACAAAAACTGACGAAAAAGGAATCACTGACTGTGAGTTTGACAAAGATTTTTCATTTTGTATTATTATTATTATTATTACTGCTATTATTCCCTTGGTTTCCGAGTTTGGAACATAGGGTTTCACTAGCTCGGATCCATTTCACCATGTTCTAAGCAGTTTCTTTTTAGTCTGGCTTGACCACTGACTTCCCGTAAGCTTTCATATCTTCCTCCCCCACTTGACATGACCTTTTCTATGGTTTTACCCTCAGACCAAAGCCTAACTCATCGTTACTACAATTCGGATTCCACTCAGGGTTCTGACTAGCAGGTGATTTTATTCAACAGTTTCCTTGGGTGTATGTCCAATTCATCTCTAGCGGAAATGTATAACAGAAAGAGTAATAACATGGAAAAACAATAGAGTTTTATTGGATATGACAGATCACAAAGAGTGGGTGAATGCAACTGTGCCAGTCATTGAGGACAATTTTCAGCCATATCACTGATGATTGCCTCCAACCACTAGTTCTTAACATCATGAGGACCCTAACCAGGAAGCCTACACCTCTCTACATGGCTTCCTCAAATTAAATGTTAAAGATTTTATGTGGACTAATTTCATATTTTTGTTTGATCACCACTAGCTGTTTTCCAACCTGATCGATCCAATGTCAGCTAACACTGTCAGTGGAGGAGGGCAATAGTTAGTCATGCGTAACACATATCCTAGCCAACTCAGTTGACTGATTTTTCCTCCTTACCTATCACTCGACTGAGGCCTCACCGCAATATTATCCACCCTATTACACCACCTAACATGGGAGACAGAACGCAGGCACATATGATCAAAGATATCTAGCTAGCCTTTTCATGTCATCCACTTTCAGTGGCCATGTCTCACCACCGTGGAGGAGAACATTGCAAACTGTTGAGAAGTACACGCGTCACTTGGTCGATAACCAGCTGAATATCACGTCTGAGCCAGGGATGTTGTGTGTTGGCAAATTGCACACGAACCTTTTCTGTATACACTGATAAGCCGACCATCGACGTAATCTCATTAATTGATTTTGAGTTGATTGACTGGCACTTATGGATTGCAGAAAACAATCACACTGATAAATATCTCATTATTTCTAACACCTTTACGTTTGTGTAGTGCGTTCACACACAAACCGAAGAACTCACAAATATACGGAACAAAAGACCCAGCAGAGAAAGAAGACGAGGTTGACACCGTCTAAATGATAAATAGCATTACCTAAGAAAAACACTACGATGAGCAAAGTGGACGTCCCTTTTGATTTTACACTCGAGCATATAAACCATCAAATGATATGAGATGTATTCTTTCATATCGTATCCAGTGTATCTTTTATTCTCTCCAGGATGATGCGACTTAGTATTTTACTTGGTGTGAACAAGAGCATTATACCACGCTAGTTCTTGCACAGGCCTCACTAGCTCGCCCTTCTTTGGAGGCTTGACAAGGTAGCTAGCCTTTCTTCCAAACTTTAGGTACCTTTCCTTCTCTCTAAACCTTTTGCAATAATGGCGTGAAATCATCTATCTCAGTCCCTAGGTCCGTTTTCATTGCTTCGGGGGGAATTACGTTTGGTCCTGTGGTGTTTCCAGCCATTCTAGGAGATCTGGATCTCGCAAATAATCTATGTTTAACGTCAAATGAACTCAAAGATCTACTGACGAAAACCAACAAGTTGGAGGGATAAGCAACTCGACAAAATGTCAAGTGAATATAGAGAAGACGGAGGTGATTAAAAACCAACCAACAGCAACAACAACAATGAGCACCAATCACTATCAGCGGGAGAAAAATGAAAGGGATTTCTTCCTTCACTTATCTAGGAAGCATCGTTTCAACCACAGGCAGAATGGATGAAGATATCAAAGCATGCTAGAATCGGAAAGGCAAGAGATGCCTTCATCAACCTGAAATCAGTTTGGAAATCTCCTGCACTCAGCAGTATAAAGAACAAGATTCGGATTCTGTTCAACACAAATGTAAAGTTATTCAGTTCTTCTATATGGGTCAGAAACTTGCACCACGAGTTACGAAAAGCATTTCCAACAAGTTATAGACATTTATCAACAGCTGACCACTTCATTGGCTTCATATTGAAGATCAAATGGCCGGTCGGCCAGCTGGCCAGAAAGAATTAGCACCAAAACACTCTGGCGATGAACAAACCAACAAGCAAGAGCTGATTGCTCAACAAATATGTAGGACAAAATGGAGATGGATTGATTGGGCATACACCGGTTAGGGAAACCGTCGAATAACATCGCGCGCAATGCAGGCCATTGATCGAGTGGAATCCCGATGGATAGCGACGAGTAGGTCGTCAGATCGACGGTGACAGGGAGGCGATCGTGTGGTTAGAAGGAGATGGCAGATTATGGACAAACGTAGACCCAGCTGAAGTGGACAGCAGGGAATAGAACAAAGTGGAGATGTGTTGTTGAAGCCCCATGTTCAACTCTGAACCCAAGAAAACAATAATATCCTGTAAAATAATAAAATCCTGTAACCAATCAAATCCCTACAAACCAACACCTGAATATCAATGAGATGCTCACTAGCGACTTGCCCTATTCAGATAGGTAGTTACCTGGGGTTCTAGTGAGAAGTCGTGACCAGTAGGGTGCAGCAGGTCAGGTGTGAGGACAAATACTCGCCGAAGACATTGGTTAGCGGTCGCGCTATGTCGTGAATTGGCAGAAGCTAGAATTCATGCACTGGGCATGGGATCGGGTCCCAGTGGTTTAATGGTATACGAGCTCGCTAGCCTTGTAACCAGGAGGTCCTGGGTTCGAATCCCGGTGGGTGCGTACTGTGAAGAGTCCCAAACTAGGGCGAAACAGCTGTCCAGTGCTCCCAGGTTTTCCAATGGTTCTCCAACTAATGTCAGCTCATGATGAAAAATCCTGCAACCAATCAAATCCCTACAAACCAACACTTGAAAATAATAATAAATGTAATAATATATATGCATTGGTGGCGCAGACTTGTGAGGCTAGCAACCTCATCCTTTTAAAATGAAACACCAGTACTACGGAAACTCCGAAGCTCAAGCTTGGAGCTTTATATTCCACTGGCGACGCGAAGGAATAAAATTATAGATATATATATATAACTGGTGAGTGCCTTAATATCTCAATACTATTTGTTAATATCAACTTGGTTCTAGTGTATAACATTTCTCTACTAAAAATATAATTTCTTTTAATAGCCTAAAAGAATGACTGATTCGCGTTCAAGTCGACCTTGTTCAGGAAAATCGATTATTGGCATAAACAACCCTAGCAACAACAATAATAATACCAACAGTTCCAATCAGCAATCCATTATTCCACCTAAAGACAATATTACCGCAAAATTAAAGAGCGAGTCTAATACACAGGAAGCTAATCTCAACCAACCAATACATAATGCAAGTCATCCTGGATTTTGGCCATTATTATATAAAAAATTACTACAACTACAAGCTGATCTTTATGGAATAACAACAGAAGACGAGAAGTAGACGCATGAAATGTATGTCTTTGTTTGTTTACGTTGGATTATTTTAAGTTTTGTAAGTTATTGTACTGATTTTACAAGTTTTATTTTGGTGAAGTCCACCGACTGATATCAGTTGATGTATTCCTCTGGGTATCTTGACCGATATCTTAGCTATTCTACTTTACTGCTCCCCGTTAGTCTTTCCTGGGCTACTGAAAAAGGACTATACCATTCTGAGAAGGATATTGAAGGTAGTTAGTAGGACTAGTGGTGTAAAACTCAGTCAGCTCGTCACTACATTAGTTGAAAGGCATCTGAATACATGGTCTAAAACCATACTCTCCGACCCCCAACACCCCGTCTATTCCCAACTCTCGCCTTGTATCTCATCAAGTAGAACCAGATATCAGTATAAAATAATTTATGCTCGTACAACCAAGTACAGGAACTCAACGATTCCATACTTGGCCCGTGTTCTAAGCGACAGAGACAATGTTAGGCGTGAAACTTATGACGTGCTTTGTTGTTAACAACATAATTTTAGGCCCTTTTATTTCTCTCTTATTTTGTATTATATAGTGAACTCCTTCTTAAACACACTTAGCTATCTAGATTATTAACATTGGCTGACTTTTTTGTACTTTACTGTATTCCTTCTTTTGTGTATCTACTGGTTCCGACTATATTAGCATTATGAGTATTACAAAATTGTCCTGTCATTAACCATCATGTAATTATTAGTTTTGTCGTTGTTTTTGTTCGGCAATATTAACTGACAATCATTGGTTGTGAACGCCATTATCACCATCTTAAAATTTTGTATTATTCAGGATTACTCACACTACCACCACAAACACCGCATAAGACCTGACAATAAAAAAACAGCCCTGAAATGTTATTTTATGATTGTTTAGTGTTGTTTCAACCAAATTAACTGATCATCTTGACGATAAACATTCTTAAATATCAGTTCATAACTTCTTGTTTGACTACAGCTTTACTGTTACCATGCACAATCATATCACAGCTTCCACTACCCAATATTGAGATATTATTTATTATGTTGTTTATTTTCCTTTCTACTTGGTATATTTTCGCATTTTTTAAAATTATTTTTGTTTTTTTGCTGTTGTTGTCTTTGTGTTCACTTTTTTTGAAATACTCCTTTTAAATGTTTGATAAAATTAGATGCAAATAATGTAGAAATGTGCTGAAAATTCCACACTGTACCACTAGTACTGTTTCTGGAATAAAGCAAATTATTATTATATGACAAATCAAATTAGTCCTTTTTCATTGCAATTCTAGCCACCAACTGATCTCAATCAGAGAACCGTTGAAAACAGGTGGGTACTGGACAACTATTTTACCCTAGTTTAGGGATATTCAGTATAATTTACCTATCACCCCATACGGGGATCGAACTCAGGACATTCAGGTTCTGCAGTCAAGCTCTCTGACGATTCAGCCCCACTGGGAGGGAATCTGATGACCCACCATATTTGCAATATATAGCGTGACTGTCAGCCAGTGTCGTCAGCGATTAGTTATACTCAAATCCAACTTGGTATAACCCATCGGTCACGTTCCCACTAGAAAAAAAACAACTATGGAGTACTGAACGGCTGTTCCGTTCTTGTTTGAGATTTTTTCACATGAAGGTTCACGTTCTCATGGGTTTGTGCCTCTCCCTTATAATCTAATCCGCTATCTATCAACATCACAAGTCGAGGAAGCTTGTGGCTCACCATGTCTACCACACCTATCAGCCATCTCAGTCTTCGCAACTTCATAATCGTTTCCGACTGAATCTCTCCCTCGTTACTCCCTCTCGACAAAAAAAACAAGAGATTCAATTAGAGCAGTTATATTCAAAAATCATCAACCTTTTCATACTTTCCATTCTTAGGGGCTATACTTCACAGTCGTAAATTACAATGGAGTGAACAACTGTAAAGTGTATATGTCCCGCCTTGAATGGTAGCTGGATGTCAAACTGCCACATATGTGACTCAAGTTGATAAATGCTGCAGAGTCGTTCTAATCCAAGCAGTTGTCATTGGTACAACTTTCTAAATAAGTAAAGTGAAGAACACATTCAATCATCTTTTGATACCGTCTCCTTAAATCACCTTCTTACATCTGACAGGGGTGGAAATTACGCTAATTATGCACAAAATTCATCTCAAGGTGTTCAGAAAACTAAATTTTCTCAGCGTCTTTGCCTTCAAGGACCATACTTGCATATATACACACACTACAAATCACAAAACCACCATCGTAGCTAATCAAAATCTGAAACGTAAGGTGACGAGAGTAATTTTCATTGGTGCATCTGTGAAAAAATCAAACAAGATTGACAATAGTGAACATCCTCGACGAGCACTAACGGCTGTCATCAATTCAAGTGACAATTGCCCATATGTTCCTATATTGTTGCATTAGTTCAGTTAGCGTTGCTTGACCAGTACAACAAACTTTATTTACCATGACACCTAAATCAACAGAGTCACACGTCACCTTACGTGTAGAATTATTTCGTATTGGACGCCACAGTACGTTTCATACGTTGGAAGTATGACAAGGGCACTGTCGTATAAGCCTGAAAACGGCATCGTTTCTTCTCACTTCCATATAGTACTTCTTTAGTCAGACTGAATTCCGCAGGTCTTTCAACCTCACAATCCAGTCAATTTCCTTCAGACGTTATTGAAATTGCTCACTTATCGTGGGCTTTTCCCTCACCATACCGTTAAGGTAGATAGTATTAAGAAGAACCGGAAAATTCCACTTGGCTTTCCGTGAATCGGTTGGAGGATTTCATCATGAGTTGACATCAGTTAGACAACCATTGGGAAACCTAGGAGTACAAGATAACCAGCTGTTTTGTCAGACTAGTTTGGGACTCTTCAGCAGTACGCACCCACCACCAGGGTTCGAACTCACGACGTTCTGGTTACAAGACTAGTGATCTCGTCGACCACTGGAACCTTATCCAATGGCCAGTCAATGAATTCAAACTTCTGTCAATTCACGATGTCAGCTCATGGTGAAATCCACCAACCAATCAAACAAAATCCCTACAAAACCAATACTTGATAATTTCCGTTAATCAACAATAGCAAAGTGGTGTATTTGTGTCTGTCGATGGCTTTATTCGAGCCGTTGTTGTTAGGAGAAGATTTGAGGTTACCGTTGGTCAGAGACAAGTAATGTTCGGAACAAAATTGTAAGACATCACTTTCTTTTGATATAAACGTGTGAAACTATTTAGATTACAAACCAAATACTCTTTCCGTATAGCTTAACTTTCCCATCAGCGAATTTCAATCCCTCGCTATTGTCACTTACACCTAAGCTTCTGATAAAACTGATTACTAATTACTTGGTTCAAATCCTAATGCTTACAGCATTTGGCCAGTTTATTTCTTCATCGTGTATTATTTATTTATTTATTTATGGAACACGATTTAAACAAATGCACCCATTTCAAGTCGTTTGTTCCTCTTGCTTACAAACGAAATCTTATCAGTACCTTAATGTATCATGATAGAAAAATCTGCACAATTGGCACTCTAGACGAAGAAATAAGGAAAATAGAAAACTTTTCATACGAGAAAAGATATCCCGAAAAATTTGTCAAGGTCCCCGTCAGAAGAACAGATAGAAGGAAATGCCTGCAATCTGCGCAAAAGAAACGCATATACATGACTTTATTGCTTAAAGGAAACATAGCAACTGAATTCCTAGCATCGAAACTTCGAGAAATAATAGCTAAAACATTCCTTGCCCCAAAATTTTGTTTAAAATTTACCACTCGTTGTATAATTCCAACGCTGGTGAAGGATATGCTACCGAGTCAGGCCACTTCAATGTGCATTTATAAATTTAACTATTCATGTGGAGACATTTACATGCGCAGGACGACTCGGGAAGCCCACCGTCGCATTCTGAAGCAGTGTCCAATCTGGTTAGTTAGAGGAGTCGTAAAGTCAATCAGAAGTTCCATACTGCCACACACCTAGTGGAAACCCAGCAAAAGATTGACAAAAATTCAGCTTGTACAACTCTATACAAGGTGCTACCTCAACTCCCTAGGTTAGTGCGTCATCGGTTGCTAAGCGTATCTTAGGTAGTTGCCATGACTGCTTTTCAACCCAATCCCAGTGTTCAGAAGCAATTTGTGCAATCTGTCTCCCTCCATCGGTCTTCGCTCCCAAGCTAAAAACGGTATTTCTCCCGGAGACACACCGGATAACTGTAAATATGATCTTATTATATTTTTATCTTCATTTTATATGTAATGCTGACTGTATTATCAATATCGTGCTGTGCTGTAGTTGTACATTTTATCCTCGGTTTCACAATCTATTATCATTATTATTATATTATCTCATCGCTATGTGACAATAGTCATTTCCCCCTCTACCCTTCCTACTAGTATACACATTCTACCTATACGCTCACCGTTGCCTAGATTATATAAATACTTGAATGAGTTTATCCTTATTATTATGGTGATCACCTTGATTGTTGTCGATTAATTCACATCCCTGAACTTTGATCCTTGATATTATATTAACCACATTCATCACTGAAATGCCCATGACTAATATTTCATCATTATGCTTTAAATGTAAAACCTGATGAGAATTTACCGAAAATACGTATCTGGCTGCTTAAATCATGTTCTGTAATAATCATTATGGCAATTTTTAAATTATTATTTATTTACTCGTCCTCATACAACGACCTAGTACAACCAAGGGTGGGTAGACTTCGGTCCTCCTGTCAAAATCCTCTCATGTGGCCACGTATTCATAGCTTCTGCTCGCCAGGCAAGTCTTGTTCACTGCCTTCAGGCCACGACTGGGGTGTTCCTCAGAAAAGTGAAAGAGCGAATGAGAAGGTGTGGCGCTCACAACGAGACTGGCAGACATTCAGGTCTACCGAGAGGAGCTGAAAAAACCTAATTCCGAACCTGTGTTAGTGTACATTCAGTACAGAATCCCAAAGGAAAGA